TTCAACTTCTAAGACCCAATTCTCGAAAGGGAATAGAGTTGTCCTCCCAATGTCGTATACCCGATTTCGACTCGTAGAAAAAGGGGGCGTCGACAAGGAACACCACTCTTGACATATCATCATCGTCCGCACCGAGCATCAGGCCCAGCTAATTCACGTCCTGCACCTGACCCTGCTCCTACTGCGGACTTGTCTATTCCTAGTACACCGATTGCACTTTAGAAAGGTATACGAACTACCCTTAATCATAATCGCCATTATGTCGGTTTAAGTTATCATTATTTGTTATCACCCTATTATGCTTTTATATCTTCTTTGTCCTCTGTTTCCATCCTTAAGTCTATAGGTGAAGCATTGTCTCATCCAGGATAGCGATAGGCTATAACTGACGAGATGTCTGCTTTACATACGAGTGGTACTTGGGAGCTCGTTCCTCTTCCTTTAGGTAAATCTAATGTTGGTTGTCGCTGGTATATGCAGTCAAGGTTGGTTCAGATGGCAAGATTGATCGCCTTTAGGCCCGTCTTGTTGCCAAGGGATATACTCAGATATTTAGGCTTGATTACAGTGATATCTTCTCTCCCGTGGCTAAGGTAGCATCAGTCCGCCTTTTTCTATCCATGGCTGTTGTTCGCCATTAGCCTCTCTATCAGCTGGACATTAAGAATTCCTTTTTACACGGTGACTTTGAGGATAAAGTTTATATGGAGAAACCACATAGGTTTGTTGCTCAGGAGGAGTCTCGTGACCTTGTATGTCGCTTGTGCCGGTCACTTTATGGTCTAAAGCAGTCTCCTCAAGCCTGGTTTGGTAAGTTCAGCACAGTTATCCAGGAGTTTGGCATGAGACTTTGAGTCTTTGTATTTATCTGGTGGTCTATGTTGATGATATTGTTATTACCGGCAATGATCAGGATGATATTACTAAATTGAAGCAACATCTCTCTTAACACTTTTAGACTAAGGACCTGGGAAACCTAAAGTATTTCTGGGTATTGAGGTCGCTCAGTCTAGCTCAGGTATTGTTATCTCACAACGGAAGTATGCCTTAGATATTCTTGAGGAGACATGAATGATAGGTTGTAGACATGTTGACACTCCGATGGATCCGAATTCTAAACTTCTACCAGGATAAGGGGAGCCTCTTAACGATCCTACAAGATATAGGCGGTTGGTTGGTAAATTAAATTACTTTGCAGTGACAAGACCTAACATTTCCTTTCCTGTGAGTATTGTGAGTCAGTTTATGGATTCTTCGTGTGATAGTCATTGAGATGCAGTTGTTCGCATTCTTCGGTATATAAAATCAGCTCAAGACAAATGTTTATTGTTTGATGATCGAGGCCATGAGAAGATAATTGTATACTCAGATGCTATTGGGCAGGATCACCTTTTGATAGACGTTCTACGTCTGGATATTGTGTCTTAGTAGGAGGAAATTTGGTGTCTTGGAAGAGCAAGAAACAGAATGTGGTTGCTTGGTCTAGTGCAGAAGCAGAATACCGAGCAATGGCTATGGTGACATGTGAGCTAATTTGGATCAAACAGTTGCTCAAGGAGTTGAAATTTGGTAAGATTAGTCAGATGGGACTTGTGTGTGATAATCAAGCTGCTCTTTATATTGCGTCAAATACAGTGTTCCATGAGAGAATTAAACACGTTGAGATTGACTGTCACTTTGTCTGAGAAAAGATACTCTCGGGAGATATTGTTACAAAGTTTGTGAAGTCGAATGATAAGCTTGCAGATATTTTCACCAAGTCCCTTACTGGTCCTCGTATTAACTACATATGTAACAAGTTCAGTACATATAATTTATATGCACCAGCTTGAGAGAGAGAGTGTGTTAGAATAGTTATGTAAATAGTAGTAAATAACCCTAATCCCATATGTATTAGGAGTGAGACATGTTATGTATATATATATATATACATAACTGTATCATGTTTAACATATGAGAATAATATCAATAATATTTTCTCCCGTGCTTTTTCACAAGTTCTATGAACCCCAAATCCTCTTTCCTCTCTAGGTTTAGTGATGGTATCCCAACCAATTAGGTGCAACTGCTCACTTGGGCAGGTAGCTTAATATATTGTATAACATGACTTGGGATGCAACCAAGAGATAATTTGGCAAGAGTGGTTCTCCCAGCCATATTCATGAATGGGGTTTTCCAGCCTGCCAATTTGGTGTGCATATTGCCTATGATGAATTGAAAGTCCCTATTGGTAGGACTTTTGTGGAATATAGGGAGTCCCAGATATTTGCCAAAGGATTTGCTGACCTTAATGTCTATTGCCCCAACTAACCTAGCTACAATATCCTATGGGCAGTTTGAAGAGAAAGACAACTTTGGACTTGATGGTATTCACCCTTTGACCTGATTTACAACTGAACTGATGCAGGGTATTTATGATGGTATCACAGTTCTTTGTATTTGCTCTTGCAAATATGGTTAAGTCATCAGCAAAGAAAATATGGGAAATTTTAGGCCTAGAGTGACTGATTTTGATTGGGAACCATCTTCCATTGCTAACCTTAGCCTCAATGATTCTAGACAGTTTCGCCATGCACATGATGAAGATGTAGGGAGACATAAGATCTCCCTGCGTAGTGCCTCTACTAGGGTGGAAAAAGGCAGTTCTACCCCTATTTACCAGAACAGAGATAGAGTTATTAGAGATGCATGACATAATTAGTTTAGTCATGTTATTAGAGAAGTCAAAGGACACAAGGGTATCTCTAATAAATGACCATTCCAGCCTATCAAAAGCCCTTTCTAAGTTAATTTTGAGGATCGTATTAGAATTTTTACCTTTTATCCTACTGCAGTGACTGATATATTCCTGGACTATGAGGGCATTGTCACTAACTTTCCTGTTAGACAGGAAACTGGCTTAACTAGGCCCAATGATGGATGAGGGGATTGGCTTTATTCTATTGACAATGATTTTAGTAATTAGCTTGTACATTGTGTTGCACAAACCAATTGGTCTGAAGTTCTTAAGAATTGTGGCATTAGTATGCTTGGGAATTAGACAAAGATATGTACTATTCACATTGGGATTCATTTCAAAACTCTGGAAAGTTTGGTTGCAGAATTGAGTGATCTTGTTTTCCAAAATATTCCAGAATCGTTAATAGAAAAGAGGGTGGAGGCTATGAGGCCCAGGAGCCTTTGTTGGCTTGAAAGAGAACATAGCATTCTTGATCTCATTAGTTCTTAATGGAGCATTTAAACTAGCCTGGTCCCTACTGGGTAGGATGTGGATGTTGTATGTTGTGCTCTGCCCTGGGTTGGGAGAGGAGTGGTGGTCAGTGGTATAGAGATTATTATAGAATTGGTAGATTGTATCCTCAATTTCTTGTTGGTTCTCTATCCAGTTTCCAACATCATCTTGAAGTACAATAATCATGTTTCTTCTTTTCCTATTGAGAGTTGAGGTTATGGAAGAATCTAGTGTTGACATCCCCTTCCATAAGCCAGTTGATCTAGACTTAGTCTTCTAGAAAATATCTTCACTATTCAAGATAGAGGAGTATTCATCCAGAAGCTCACCCTCTAACTTTTATAGGAAGTTGCTAAAAGAGTATGCTCTAGATTTTTGGATGCCCCCCCAACCTGTTCAGGATGTGCTTTTTCCTATGAAAAATATTACCAAAGACATTCTTGTTCTAGGTGGAAACTTGCACTTGAAAATTGGCATTCTCTCTCTAAACTAAAGCTCCCAGCATAATATATAGATTGTGTGATGCAATTATAAATTTATTACATATTAGTCGGTAATTTTCACAAATTAGATTTGATAATTGTTTTAAAGATTTAGGAATTAATAGCCTATAAGAGAAGAAATTATAAATGATTATTTGTAAGAAGAGAATTGATCCAAAGAAGGATGTAGATAATTTGCTTTAGTGTGAAAATAGAAGAAGATAATTTGGAAATTTATAAGACATTACACAAAGATAAAAATAAAAAAACAAGAAAAGTCAATAAAGAATTTGAAAAGTTACAATATAATTTATGTATATGATATCTTTAAATTTAAAAGAATGGTAAAAACAAGAAACAAAAATGAAAAAAAAAATGTAAATCAATAAGGGATAATTTGAAAAATATAAATTTATAGTTAGGATAGTTTTATCTTGAATAAATTAATTTTTAGCTTCTGCTTTTTGGAGGAAGCTAGAATTTTCTGCCTATTCCCAAAAGCAAAAAAACTGCTTCTGCTGCTGGCCAAAAGTACTTCTTCGTCTTGGCCAAATAGCTTAAATTAAAAATAAAAAAAATCCTTTTTGGGAGAAAAAAATTACTTTTGGCCTCCCAGAAGCTTGGCCAAACAGACTCTTAGATTGTTTAATGACGAAAATATACTTAAAAGAAAGTACTTTTTGTATTGCAATTATCCTTTCTTTATTAATCATCACATAATATTTTTATTATTATTAATTATCACATAAATCGTCCATGCATTATAATTTCCGCATAATTAGTAGGCGTTTGGACATAAGAAAATTTTAAAAAATGGTAAAAAAAATTTTCAAGCGAAAATGGTATTTGAAATTTAGAGTTGTGTTTAGACATAAGTTTAAGTTTGGGTTGTTTTTGAAGTTTTGTGAGTGATTTGAGTGAAAATTTTGAAAAATAGCTTTTTGGATTTCAAATTTTCGAAAATTTTCAAAATGCATCTTCAAGTGAAAATTGAAAATTTTATTAACAAACGCCGATTTCGAAAAAAGTGAATTTTTTTTGGAAAAAAGGAAAAAAAAAACTTATGTGCAAACGGGAGTATTTCCGCATATAGTTTCTTAAAGCAAAAAGCAGTCTCAGTTTGATCTTTTTTTTAGGGTCGAAATACACATATAATAATGAATAAACAAAAACCGAACAAGCCATTTAAATCTATTTTTAAAGCAAAAAATAAGAAATAAAAATGAGGAAGTATCAAATATCAATCGATAAAGCATCTTGACCAAAGTCGAAGAAAAAAAAAAGAAGCTATTTAAAGCGTAAATTGCCCACTTCGGCACAATTTAACATTTTGAATTGATTAAGTGCGTAAGCTCCTATTAGAAACCCAGTGCGCGCGCGCCTGCTATGCTTTGCTTTCCCAAAATTTTCAAAATCAGTCCATATATGCAAATTAACAAGTGAACTGCAGTGGCATTAACTGCCGCGGCAATTTGAAGATTTGAGAAGATTAGAACATGGATTCAGTATCTACTCCTGGTTGGAATGTGGATCGTCCTTTTCTCACTGGCCAATTTTATCAGGTACTCACCCATTTTCTATTAATTTTACTAAATTCTTTACTTTTTATTGCAATTTTCTGAAAATGTGTACAGGAGATAAAGGCTACACCTGGAACTGCTGAATTCAAGGGTTTTTCTATAGACTCAAGGTATCTTTAATTGTCCTTGGCTTTATGATTTCATATAATTTAGGCATTTTTGTGAATGTGTTTTAGCATGGTGTTTTTGATTTGCTATTCTAAAACCAAACTGGTGACTCCTATTTGGTAGGTCTCCTACTTACTTTCTGTTTCTGTTTGGAAATTTTTGTTCAGTTTTGGGACGGATAATGCGATAGGTACCTACCATGCTACCATTCAGGTATTGCTCTTTTGATGCAATTGGAGGTTCATCGTCCTTATTATTAGAATTGTTGTTATTATTGTTATTACTTGTTAGTACCATCAGTTATTGTTCTTATTGACTATGTTGCTCAGACTCGGGGGTACCTGTGTGCGCGTCTAGAGGTTGGATTCTTCATCGCATAAATTTTAGGATTTTTGTGGTGTGGGTCCGAGTGGATACAAGTGTTGGGATACGACCAATAAATGTGTATTACAAAATATATAAGTACATATTTCGATTAACTAAGCTATTGAACTAAAACTAATAAAATTTAAATCTCTATGAACGCCTAGTAATGTTTTATAAGTAAGATATATCGTGTAATAGCAAAGCGTTCTCCTACTTTATATAACTATTTATATATGACACGAACCCAAAATCAAACCAAATACCCAGTCAACCTAGACTTCTTTGTCATAGATGTAGTTAAAACACAAAGGTAAGTTGACCAGATCGGCAAGAAGGAACATATAAGCTCGGATAATAAGTTTTAACAAGACTGTAATAGTCAACAATCAACATGCTTAATGTGTCATGTACTTCTCTTGTACATGCCAATAATTGGTTCACGTCCTTCTCTTTTTGTTTACAACCAATTTGTTTGGAATTTAGTTACGTGTGAACTTTTGCATTGTTTTATTTAAGTACTAATTTTTAAAGGTTAGGGGGAACAGAAACTATGATGTTGTGGCTCATCTAGAAGTTTTTTCTTGTTAATATGTTATGTCATATATGGACTTGATGATCTTGGTTTCTAGTTCGGTCAGGGTCAGTCATTTATTAAAATTTTGTCAAAATATGTAGGAATTAATTGTTGTTGATGATCTTCTATCCACATTGGTTGGAATTGAAGGACGCTATATTTCTATTAAGAAAGTCCGAGGGAAGGAGGATGCCATAACTTTCCAGGTTGATGCATCTATGGATTTAGCTCTTCAGGTACATAATTTTGTTTTTTCATTCAAGTTCTTTGTTTCCATCTTGAATCTGTTCATAGGCAAAAGAACTCTTGTAGTTGATTGGTACGAAATCACGATCTAGATTGTTGCGTTATATCTAGTTTAGTTTTGAGGGTGTGGATCAGATCTATTGGAGAATCCTTGCGAAAGTTTAACAGAATAGGATACTTTAGGAGAATGTGAAGAATGAAGATTTGGAGACTCTTAACCTTCTGTCAACATCAGATGTCTATTTCCATGGACGAAATAAAGAAATTGATGAAGTGGCCTTGAGCATAATTTTATCAGAACATAATAGCAGAAATAGGTTAATTAATGTTTCGAAGATGTGGCTTTAGTGGAAGGGGTGGTTCTGAAGATTGGATATTGCAGGGCATTATTCTGCAGTGAGCCAATATATTTGGAGTAGGCTGACAGGTTTAGCATTTAGATTAAGTTAGGAAATGACGTTGCTCGCATGTATTCTCTAAAACGCATAAAAGTAAAGAACATAAAGTAGAAACACAGGAGTTGGGTAGATACCTACCAAAAAAAAGGAGAGGAGTTGGGATAAAATGAGACATTTAATTCCTGAAATGTCTTAAAGTTAATTAGACCAAGTATGTTACATTGTCAAACTTAAGCTATTGTCTTTTGATTGAATTATTCGCATGTGTGTAAGTGCAGCTTATGTTCTTCATAAAAGAAGTCCAACATATTTCATCCAGTAGTGGCGTGTGTTAATGAGAAGTGAAAGAATGTAAGCTCTTACTCCGTCCATGTTAAAGTGCTGGTTAGTAAGCAGGCACTAAGCGTCTAACTGAACCACAAGAAAGTAGCGGAGAATATTAAAAGAGAAATGAAGCTAAATAAAGCAAAAACAGAATGTTAGCTTTCAGCAGTTCTCTAAATAGACAAATTTTCAATGCTTGAAATAGTTAATACTACATTCTTTACTTTGTTTGTTCTTCCTAGAAAATCCCAAAATGTTCGAGGATGTCGGCAATTTCTGGTGCAGGGAACTGTCAAGCCGGCTCTGCAACAAGTTTTTGTCTAGCAAAAAATACGGATTAGTGCAAGAAAGATGATTCTCTCTTGCTTTCTGGTCCTTTTCTCTTATTCAAAACTGTAGGTTTAAGTGGTGGTTATTTAGCAAGCAAAAAAGTAAAAATGTTATGTTCGTGGTTAGCTGACAAATCACAGTGCAACAGTTTGAAAGTCGAAGGAGAAAAATGAAGTAAATAAGTGTATTTGAATAAAATAACGAATTACTTTGAGGCCGAAATCTGAGAACACGTGAAGACAATTTCCAAGTCTTATATTTTATAATGTGTTGAAATAATTTTGACTATTACTGCAGGAATTTGCAAAAAGACTGTTCCCGCTATGCGAAAGTTATATCTTGATTAACCAGTTTGTCGAGGCAAGGTCACAGTTCAAGACGGGCCTAGTCAATCATGCCTTTGCTGCTGCTCTAAGGGCACTCCTCCTTGTAAGTTTCTTATTTATGGATCTTTCTGGTGTTGCATGGGGTATTATACTTTTCTCCATCTGTTAATCTGGTATATTATTCATCTTATATATAAGCTCGTTTTGAGGATATATTAAATTATATATATGAGAAAATCACTTCTTGGAAGATGGTATCGTCTTCATCATTTGTTTACTCTTTTTGTGATAGATAAATTCAACTATATGAAGATTATGTCCTAGGAAGCTGAGACACCCGTCCACAACTTTTGATTTGGTTCAGCTGATTATTGCTAGTTTTTATAATTTTATTGGCCTATTGTATCATAGATTCCTGGTGGCATGAGTTGTTTCTGTAAATTTTCCTATGCTGGGCATACATGTGCAATGTAGAAGTGCCAATATTTGGTTGCTTTATTAGGCTGAAAACTAAGGAAAATGTTAGAGAAAGAAGTACTTTAAGGAAAACCAATAAAGGAGAGATAATCAGAGCGTGGAATATCTTTTCCAGGATTACCAAGCAATGGTGGCACAGCTTGAACATCAATTTCGCTTAGGAAGACTTTCTATACAAGGATTATGGTTTTACTGCCAGGTAACACTGTTTAATTTAGTTTAATTGCCTAAGCAGTCATTTACTTTGACTCGTCGTGTTTGTTGCTTAGTTAAGCTATTTCTTGCAGCCAATGATGGGTTCAATGCAAGCTCTGTCAGTGGTGGTGAAAAAGGCTGCAGTCAATAACTGTGTTGGTTCTGCAGTCCTTAACCTCTTGCAAAGCCAGGTATCGCGTCTAATTAATGTCATAACTTTAGGGGATCTATCGTCTGAGTTCCCCTAAAATTATGGAATTCTTTAGTAGTTCGTTAGTTAGTCTTTCTCATTAGGGAAATCTTCTCTTTTTATGAAAAAGTGCATATTGTTTAATTTCAATTGAAAAAAGGACCAAGGATTTCATTCAGAATTCAAGTTATTTTGATATTGGGAAGTATACATAATCCAAAAAAAGTGGTTTTTCTTTGACCTTTTTCCCAGTTATTCATGACTTGTATTGGCAAGAAAAACGGAACGCAGCAAAAGTTTCAAGCATTCCATGATAGACACTATTTTGAGATATGTCAAATACAAACTACATATGTTCTATTTTAGGAGGATCTACATTTATTTCCAGACTAATTATTCCGTTTTAGGCAAAAGCAATGGCTGGTGATCATGTAGTGAGATCTTTGCTGGAAAAGATGTCACAATCAGCAAGCACTGCATATCTTGGGATATTAGAGAGGTATTTACTGTTGATGCCTCAATGATTTTTCAAGTTTGTTTAAGGTCTGGTTGACCCACTACTGACTGGGCATAGTTGCCTAATCAAATTTCTGGTTATGTAATCTGATAATCATCAATTTGTCATTACTTTTTTATGAAGTATAAAATGAAGTTGGTGAGACATAAATTGCTATAGTTAAAATCTCATTGCTTTCTATTTCTGCTATTTAATCTTGGTGGGTCCTCCGATAATATCTACTTTGGATATCACCTGATAGAGCTACTAGACATTGTAATAAGTAGTAACATATGTTTCCTTGAATAATGACTTTCAGTTTAAGTGGAAATGCACAAGTTTGTGTTTTTATATTTGTCCCATGATGAGAAGCAAGGAAAGTACTGGTTTTCTTGTTCCTTGTAGAGTAGCTATTAGGTTTTCATCGTAGTGCCTTTTGTACATATTAGGGTTTTCATCACTTCTCTCATATTCCACACTTGTATGCTCAACTTCCCCTTTTTTAAGGTGAATTGATATTGTTGCTCAATTTAGGTGGCTGTATGAAGGAGTGATTGATGATCCTTATGGTGAATTCTTTATTGCTGAGAACAAGTCTCTTCAGAAGGTACATCTTTGTAAGTAACTCCACTTTTTTACTTAGTTGCTGATATCTCGTTGATCTCTCTGTATTTCCCACAGGAGAGTCTTACTCAGGATTATGATGCCAAGTACTGGCAACAACGTTACAGCCTGAAGGATGACATTCCTAGTTTCCTTGCAAATGCAGCTGAAACAATTTTGATCGCTGGAAAATATTTAAATGTCATGAGAGAGTGTGGACATAGTATTCAGGTTTTGACAAGATTTTATTGCTCGTTATATGTTTCACCCAATAAAGTTATTCCATATTTCTTTGCTCTACAAATCAAATAGTAATATTAGCAGGAGCTCTTGACCAAAATGAGTTGTTAGATCTCTGTGGCAGAAAAGTCAAAATTGACAAGTGTTGGCTCAAATCATCACTATTTGGAGTGCATCAAGTCGGCTTATGATTTTGCCAGTGGCGAGCTATTAAATCTTGTTAAAAACAAGGTGTGCTTGAAGCAAGAAAGTCATTCCTTCACAGTTTGTTTTCTATGTATCTTAATTCGTGAATGCAAGTGCTTTTATTTTATAAGAAACTCCTTACTGATTAAACCTTTCTTTTCTGTTGGTAGTATGATCTAATGGGAAAACTGCATTCAATCAAGCACTATCTTCTTCTTGATCAGGTATCAGCTAACGGTTAACAGATTATACATTTAAGCTTATGATAATTTCGGGAGTTGGGGTTGGATTGGGGAAAGTACCTGGTATGGAGTTCAACCGCTACATGCATGGAAATGCTGCATTAACTTTGTTTATTAACTCCTCATTCCCTTTGTATTTCATTCCGTAAAGAAGATATTTCTTGGGCTAGTAGCTGACATAAAAAAGGGTTGAAGGAAGAAGGCAAATATGAAACATTTTTAACCCTATGTTGGCCAAACAAGCATATCAGTCAGTTAAATACACAATTTCAAAGCTATTGCATGCTTAGGTTCTCCGCTCTCTAGGCCTGGTTTTGAGATTATTCTTTGGTTTCATTTTTTATTTTCTTTAGGTGTGCTCTCTGCAGATGGAGTTAAAAATAATTGTTGCCTCATTCTGTAGCCGGTTTTATATGTTTTAGGTTAGATGCATTCTGGCTACTAAGAACTTTGTCTTCGTACTTACTGCAATGGGTCATGCAGGGTGATTTCCTAGTTCACTTCATGGATACAGCTAAAGAGGAGCTCATGAAGAAGCCTGATGAGATCTCCGTGGAGAAGCTACAGGTTTTTTACATAGTTGTTTCTTTGGTTTTCTGCTTTCTGTAACATAGAGAAACCACTTGAAGCTCCCCAGTAACATGATATTCTTCTTTTCTTTCTTCTGAGTAGTCTCTTCTAGACCTTGCTTTGAGATCTACTGCAGCTGCCGTGGATCCTTGCCACGAGGACTTATTGTGTTGTGTGGTGAGTTGTTATTACCTTAGCTTGTTTAGCCTTCAAATATGGGAATAATCTGCAGGATTTATGTCAAATATGGTATTCTCCCAGGAGCGGACTACTTTATTGAAAAGGTTGAGTATGCTGAAAGATCTTGAAATCAGCCAGTCTGCTCCAGATAGCAATGATTTAGAGGAACCACTAAGCATTACTGGCTTGGAAACTTTTTCTTTGAATTACAAGGTTTGTATTCTAATGTCTCTCTTTCAACATTTTTGAAGAAATTATCCACCGTTGCACCCACCCAACAAAAAGGAAGAAAGAAAAAAGAAATGGTAAGAAGGTGCGGACATTGCTATAAGAAAGCAGTCTCTATGTCTTTTATATCGATCAGAGATCCAGATTGTAGTTGCTTCATGGTACTGGATTGTTGTTTAAAGGGCCCAATTTTAGGTTTGAAATGTAAAACATATCCAGATCTTGGCTGTTGTCCCCACTTCCTTCTTTGGGCAGTCAAAGAGTGCAAAAGAGAAACATAGTCATGTAAAATGAAAACAAACTAAAAATGCAAAGATGAAGAAAATAGGTAGGATTTAAGAACATGGCGTTAGGAAAGAAGAAAAAGACAACTACGAATTAAAAGGGTAAAAAGCGTTGGGACATATGAAATAAAAATACGTAGCAAGAAAGTAATGGTGGACGCCAAATTATGAAGACGAAGAAATGAAGCAACTGAAATCTGAAGGTTCCAAAAGGAATTAAGGAAAAGACCTCCCTTTTTAGGAACCTGTCCACCAAGTCACCGCCAGCTACTTCCCCCGTTACAAGATCAGAGGGATCAATTGGCTTGAGAGGGGATATTATTATCCTGATCCAAGAGATAACATACCTGTTTATTAGTTTTGGTGTCTTTGACAACATATTAATAACTCTTTCGCCCTAACTATCTAGATAGACAAAACTAATATTCTGCAGATGCTCATCACTTTGATCCGGATAGCTAGAGAGAAATGCATGTATGATCATCCTTTTATATTCCCGTAAGGGAGAGAGAGAGAGATACTGCTTTAACACTGGATTGAAAGGAAGTCTTAGCTAAAAGTTTGTTTTAACAAAGAATGGGCTCCGACCAGCTGTAATTTTGTTTATTAGCATTCAGCTGGACTAAGTCACGGAGGGCAGCAATATCTGCATTGATTTCATGCTACTGTGGCTTTATCGGGTAACTCTATAAGAACAATCACCATAATCCCACAACCAACAGTAGTCTGTCGGCTTCTGGTGGGAGGCACTAGCATTGCCTCCGCCATCTCTTGATCTTATGCTTTCTTGTTTCCTTTATGCTTACTCTTTTATCTCTTCTCTGTTTTGCATCATATTTCTGTTTTTTTTACCAGCCTACATCATCTCCTTGAACATGTTTGCTTGTAGGCTAACATTTTGTATCTCCCCTAAAAGATCCTACTCCAAAGTCCCATTGGCAATTTCCAACCTTAAGGCTTAAGCATGCTATTTTCATATGGTCTGCTTTTCTTAGTTTTTTTTTTTTTGACTTTAATTGCATTTGTTCTTTGCCTTAAAAATTTTCCTACTGAACTGCAGTTTGGGTATTTTCAATACTTGTATTTAGATGTACGAGAAATAGTCTGCGACAATTTGGTTGTTCAATAGCTGGCCAATCTCCAAAAAGTAATTAGCTGGAAATTTCATTTTTACTTTAAGCTAAGTTAAGAAAGTGGAATGGGAATAAAGTACTCAATTCTCCCTCCTTTACATGAGTTCACATTGTCCTATACCTGGTATATTTGTTTAATTTATCAGTCTTAGGTTTTCTTTATAGTTGTGTCCAATGATGTTAATGTGTTCATCACTTCATTCAGTGCTACCTAGCAACAAGCATATTTAGCTTATGCCGAGGGAGTGCATCTTCTTCTGTTATCTTCTTTATCTGTTTTGGGCTTTTGGCAAGAATGACAATTTTAGCTGTAGCATGAGTAATTATATTCCAAAAGGTCCGTAATAAAAAATAAAAAGCTCTTTTAAAAGGTCATGGTATCATTTCTGCTGGATAATTGTATTATCATCTCCTGATCCTGGTTCCATTTTAATGTGTTTCAGGTTCAATGGCCGTTATCTCTTGTAATATCTCGGAAAGCCTTGACGAAATACCAGTTGATTTTCAGATTTTTGTTTCACTGTAAGCATGTTGATAGGCAACTCTCCGGGGCATGGCAAGTACATCAGGTATGAGATTTCAGTTTCTTTTTTGATAGTAGTCAAATAGCTTCTCTTTTCCTTTCACTTCTGATAGATTTACTCATTTGCTTATTTTGTTTTTTATAGGGTCTCCGGAAACTTGACATGCAAGGGACTACAGTTTCTGTATCATCTTTGTTGTGTCGTAATATGCTAAAGTTCATCAATAGCCTCTTACACTATTTGACATTTGAGGCAAGTTTCACCCCTCCGCAGGAAACTCCAGTTATCGTATTATCTTTGTTGTGTCTACCTGCCTTGGTTACATTAATCTCTTCTTGAATGCTTTGAATTTCTAGTTGTTTTCGTTATCCTTTGTTATTTTAATTTCATGTTGTATACATTGGTTTCCCAGTTTTTCTCATTGTTCTTTTCATCACTGTCACCACAGTGCTATTAATGTATCCTTTTTCTCCATTGCTATTCGTTTTCATTTATCATTGCTATAGTGGGCATGAGCTTTACTACATCTATCAAACTGGTGAAGACTAGTGGACTGAAACTTCTGATATGTATACGTAGTCACATTGAACTAATAGTTTGTTGTATCTTCAGGTTCTTGAACCTAACTGGCATGTAATGCTCAATAGACTTCAAACAGCAAAAAGCATTGACGAGGTAAAAGGATTATGCCAAATTCTTGCTCTTGTACAAATGAACCTTGTGTGTAAACACATTTATAGGACAGTCCTGCTGGTATGCTGCGTTTTGTTTATACTTTAGTGTATCTCATTAGTTCTTTGATTCATCTTTGGGGCAGGTTATTCAATACCATGACTTTTTTCTTGATAAGTGTTTGAAAGAATGTTTGCTACTTTCACCAGCCCTTCTCAAGGTTAGTTATGATTTTTAATTCTGGTTATTGGTGGCCTTTAGTTACTTTGTTCCTAATTAGAAAGTCTTTCAAAGTGTTAGAGATTGATGACGACTAGCCTTTCTGCAATGTTCAAGAAGAACCTGTTAGTAGACACATTTCAATAGCAACTGCTACAATACGTTTTAGGTTTCGACTCTGATAATATATTTGTTGTTATTTATTTGTTTGCTGAAGTTCCTTTTCTTTTGGGTCGAATTTGGTATTTTGTTGTTCTACCTATTTTTCCTTTCCTGATTTCTCATTAATGTTTCTCTAAATGCAGAAGGTGGAGAGGTTGAAATTGATATGTCTGCAATATGCAGCTGCAACCCAACGGCTGATTACCTCCTCGTTGGATACTGCTGATACTAACATGTTGTCCGATGATTCTCCCAGTATAGAAAAATTTAAGAACCTGAAACTAAGGACCCCATCTCAGATGCTGAGATTAGCTCCTGAAAACATCACAGTATTTGAATCCGTTCTGTATGTTACAATGAAATGATACTTCTGGTTTTGATCTCTCTGTTTCTGTGTCTCATAGTTTACTAATCATTTGCAGGAAATTTGAGAGGGAATTTTCCTCTGAGCTTCATAGCCTTGGACCGATATTAAGCAGTGGCTCTCGGGCAGAACCGTACTTGACTCATCTTGCACAGTGGATCCTTGGTGTGGGAAAAGACCAGTAAGCTGATTGTATTTGTTGTCAACAAACTTAATTTTAAAATTGCAGTTTTAGTAATCTTTATATTTATTTATGTTTGTTAAGCTCCTGGTCGATTCCCTTCCAGATCATTTTCTCTTTAAACTCGGTTGAGCTTGCATAGTGTGTGTTCATTGTGAAATCAAAATCATGCTTTCTGAGGCCTATTTCCCTTTTTCCTTAATCTCTTCACTGCTCTTTTGTCTCATCAGCACCACTGTGAGGCTCTTTTGAGAGATTGCTCCCAAATATACATGCAAGTACACGTGGTCGCACAAGTAATATAATGTAAATCAAGTATAGTTCCTAACCTTGGGGTCGGTTGAATGTTGTTAACTAAACTAAAACTTTGAACTGAAGAAATGTGAAAAAATGCTCAAGAAGTATAAATTGGTCTTTGTAATTAAAAAATGTTAATTTCGAACTGTTGGCGACAATGGACACCCCCCCCCCCCCCC